AGGCAGAAGTGATTCGACCGGGATAAGTGTGAGATACTCTGAATTTCTCATAGACTTGATGGAGAAGAAAGAAAACAAAAAAGGTGATAGGAGATGGGGGTTCAATAACGGATCATGAGACATAAGGAGGAAAGAAGGTGGTGAACCACCAGTCGCCATTAGGGTTCATTGGGTAAAAGGGGTGAGAGAAGAGAGAGTGAGAGAGAATAAGAGCAACATTTGAGAAGGGAATGAGATCTTAGGATTTAACCCTAAGAATAAAAGGGGTTTGCTTGTTGGGAGAATGAGGATCATTGGATCACTTTTGACCAACAGATGAGATTATTTCGGGAAACTTAATAAGAAAAAAAATGCAAGGACAAGTGACAACTGTTGGATCTGAGTGATCCAACTGCTGAGAGTGATGCCAAGAAATAAGATAATTTTTGAAGGAAAAAAGTATGAAGAATTGTTTTAGCGTCTAATGCCAAGATTAACGGTCTAGATTGGTTGTTCTTGTTTTGTGAGAGGATGACAATGCAAGTGTGTTTATTTTATGAGAGTAGATATATATGACATGGAGAGTATGTATGGTGAAGAAGATGAGATGAGGATCACTATTAAGAAAAAATAGGTTAATATAATTTATAAAATTATTATCAATTAAGAATAATGATGAATTAATTAAGAAAAAGAAAAGGTCAAAAAACAAAAATTGGCTCTCAGCGCACGATAAGACAAGGCAGGCTAACGTGCACCACTGATGGCTAAGAGATGCAAACAAGCAGCTCCGACGACCGCTGCTACAACGCCGGTGAACTTGATGATGCAAATCACTTCGTTAACATTTGGAAGTTTCTTACCAGCTATATTCTAACCAATCGAGGAGGAAAGTAAGCTAAATGAAGCAGAAGAGAGAAACAGTAACCAATGGAACATTAAAATTGGAAATCAAACAAAGGAAACTCAGAAGTGTAAGGATCAGCTGCCAACAAGTCCGAAACGACTACAGTTCTCTGAGGCTAGATCTTCAAAGCAAACTCCAAATCCAGATCTCATAGCAAATGCAGAGATAGGGGTGGAGAAGACAGTGCATGCAAAGGAGCTTCGACAACAAAATTGAAACTCTCAGATGAGGATGAGATTGGAATATGTTCCACCAAGTCACAAGGATGGCAAAGTGGTCATTCAAATAGGGGAAGATGATGTGAGTGAGCTGAAGGACTATTGGGAAACTGCTCTAATTGGCTATGTTCTAGGAGATGCTCCGTATGAGAAGTCTATGGTGGGTATTGTAGAAACAGTTTGGGATTTTGTATCTAAACCCCAAATTCTATATCACCATGATGGCTATTATGTTTTTCGATTCACAACTGTGGAGGATAGAGATACAATTGTTCAAGCAGGGCCATATACATATCACAACAAGCCACTTATCTTACAGAATTGGGAGAGAGATTTTCATTTTGATCCTAAATGTATCACTATATTCCTTTATTATTTTTTTTTATTTTTTTAATTTCCGCTAGTCAAGCGCCTAGGGTTAGTTTTCCATTAATAAAAGAAAAAAAAAGGAAAAAAATACAACAATTCGGAAAAGTACAAATAAGGGGGACAATAGCACCGGTATTGTTAACCATATGCCTTGGCTATATAATCACTCCTATGCGCCTCACATTGCCTTATGATGGCAGCCTCATGTAGAGGATTCATGGTGTAGCTGCCGGCAAAGTCTCACGAGGGCATATAATCTCATAGCCATGTGGATATTTTTCCAAAGGCATAGGACCAAGGCAACTCAAACCGGGCTAAACCTTACCTTACTAATCCTATTGAGGCTTTAAATAGCCTCACCTACTAACATGCATGTAAAAAATAAGAACTGGAAAGTACCAAATATTCAATGATCATCACAGAGTTTATAACATACTCTGTGATGATATTACAAATGAGAATACTAATATAATGGTAGAATAAAATGATGAAGGAATTAAAATGTTGTCTCTTCTTGTCCGAACGTATAATTTCTTCAATTTGTAACTCTTTTTCATCACAATCCCAATTGTTCAAGATGTATTCAAAATTCATGATTTCTTTTTTGAACGATTGGACTTTGTAAATGTAGTTGGGGCGGCCTTCTTTTGTTTGGCAACTCTCATTGGAGGTCGCCTAACATTTAAAAAATCACTAACCTTGTCGTCCCAACTAAATTTCCTTGTATGAGTCCTCTTACCTTTGCCGCTATGCATTGGTGATAAATCCCCTTTTCTTGCTGCCTCTGCTCTACAGTGTTGTAACATTGCTTCTTCCTCTCCGTCTTCATACAAGTCTCTCTCCAGGTACATAGGTTGTTGAACATTTTGGTCGATAACAATTGTCTCCAATGCATATTGACCTTGTGTATTTGTCACCATTGCCTTGCTTTGATGTTGTTCTATTTTTTGCAATTTGTTCCTGCTCATACTCAACATTCCTTTATGCACCATTGCCTTCCTTTATGTTGTTCTATTTGTCACTATATTCCTTTATGGATTCACTTTCGTAGTTTATCGGCTGGGTATTTGACTGCTGATGCTTTAAGTAAGGTTGCTAGTACTGTTGGTATGCCAATGTACACAGACAAGTACACAGCTGAATTGAACAAAATCTCTTATGCAAGAGTGTTAGTGAAAGTGGACATAACAAAGCCATTGATAGAGAATATTGAAATTATGACTCCCAATGGTATAAAACAACGGGAAATTATATATGAATGGAAGCCAACATTCTGCAATGAATGTTTGCATTTTGGACATGATGTATTTGAATGCTGGAAGCAAGGTAAGCAGGAAGAAGATGCTGAATTCAAATCCCCTAAGAGAAGAAATAGAGGCAGAAATAGGAAAATTGTACTGGAATGGAAGCTAAAGGATCAGCAAGAACAGGGATATAGGAATGGTGAGGTGACTGAAATTCAACCTCCAATAGATGTTGACAAAGGGAAGCAAGCTGATACAGATCAAAACAGAAGGATAATGCACAAAGATGATGGCACTAAAAGACAACATACTTCAATAGATCAGCAAGGTGAAATTGTTGAAGCTAGCAATGCTAATAGATTCAGAGTATTGGAGGAATATGAACAAACATCTGCACAGGGAGGGGGTTTGAATTCAAACCCCAGACAACACCCACCATGATCATTAGTACTTGGAACATAAGAGGGCTAAACAAACCCTATAAGCAGAAAGAATTGAAAAACTTTCTGCAGAAGAATAAAATAGACATTTTAGGATGTCTGGAAACTAGAGTCAAAGAAAAGAAAGCAAAAAAGATCCTGTATAAGGCAGCAAAGGATTGGGGATACTGCTGCAACTATACAAAGGCTGAGAATGGTAGAATTTGGGTACTGTGGAAGACCAATCTTTCAGTCAACATTGTTCAAGTTCATGAACAATTCATTCACTACAAAGTGAGTGATTCAGTAATTGGATACCAGATTATGTTGACAGTAGTGTATGCTAGAAACAAACTACAGGAAAGAACAAGTTTATGGTGTGATTTACAACTGGTAGGGGGACAGGTTCAAATTCCCTGGCTCATAAGTGGTGACTTCAATAATGTCCTAACCACTGATGACAGGTTAGGACAACCAGTCACTATGAATGAGGTGAAAGAATTCAAGGATTGTATTGACTCTATTCAATTGACCCCATTGAAGACAAAAGGTTGTTTCTATAGTTGGTGCAATAAGCAACATGCAGATGACAAAGTATACAGTAAGATTGACAAGGCCTTTGGGAACTTTGAATGGATCAAGGAATATGGGCATGTGGAAGCTGATTGCCTAGATCCTGGGGTGTCAGATCATTCACCTATAGTGGTCAAAATATGGAAAAGGAAGAATATATACCCCTAACCATTCAAGCTGTATATGGTAACAATGAAACACAAGTAATTCCAACCTATGGTGAATACAATATGGAAACAGAAGCTGGGAAATGACCCTATGGACAACATATGGCAGAAGTTATAAAAACTGAAAGCTGAGGCAAAAGGATTAAATAGGGAGATGACAAGCTATGAGAAAAGATTGAATCAAATAAGATAGCAGCTGGAATATACTCAGATTAATCTAAAGCTTGACCCTTTCAATCAGGATCTGATTGAGAAGGAAAAGCAGACCTTGTATGAACTAGAGAAATGAAGTATAATAGAAGAAAGAATTTTGAAACAGAAGGCAAAAGTAAACCGGATAGACTATGGGGACTCAAATTCCAAATACTTCTATACACAGTTGAATATCAAAGCAAGTAAAAACTCAATTACTACTGTGTACAATGATATGGGAGTTAGAGTTACAGAACCTCAAGCTGTAGAAAAAGAATTCACTACCTTTTTCAAGCAGTTGATGGGAACTGACATTGGGATTAAACCATGTCCTAATACCAAATTCATCAAAGCAGGAGCGTGCTTGTCATTGGAACAACAACAAGAACTAATAAAAGAAGTAACATGTGAAGAGATTGATGAAGTAGCGAAAGATATGCCAAATGATAAAGCCCCTGGAGTTGATGGGTTTCCAATAGAGTTCTTTAAAAGGCACTGGGAAGAAGTGAGACATAATGTATATGATGTTGTACTGTTTTTCTTTCAAACAAGCAAGATGAAGCAAGCATGGAATTGCACAGCCATGACATTGATTCCAAAAGTTCCTGCACCTACAACTGTGAAAGACTCTAGGCCTATTGCTTGCTGTACTACTGTCTATAAAATCATTGCCAAGATTCTGACTTAAAGGATCAAAAAGGTAATTGAAGGTATCATTGGGAAAACACAGTTTGCGGTCATAAAAAGGGAGGAGCATTGTGGATAATATACTGTTTAGCCATGAGCTGTTCAATGGGTACAATAGGAAAGGCTTATCTCTAAGATTTGTACTCAAGGTTGACTTAAGGAAAGTATATGATTCTTTGGACTGGTAGTTCCTAAGATATATGCTCACAGATCTTGGCTTCCCTCAGAAATTCATAGTATGGATAATGGAGTGTGTGACAATAATATCCTATTCTCTTGTACTGAATGGAGGATTTACTAGACTTTTCAATGCAAAGAGAGGTATAAGACATAGAGATCCAATGTCTCCTTACCTCTTTGTGATTGCAATGGAGTACTTGCAGAGGGAGATGAATCAACTTGCTATGCAGAAGGAATTCAAATTTCATCCAAAGTGCAAGAAGTTGGGAGTGACACATATTTTTTTTTCTGACGATTTTTTAATGTTTTGCAGGGGTGACACACAATCAGTTACTATAATGCAGGAGACCTTTAAAAGGTTCTCCAATGCATCAGGATTACATGCAAGTGCAGAAAAGAATTCTATTTATACTGTTGGTGTAGCACAACATATAAAGGAACAACTGATTGAGTGTACATGATATGAAAAGGGTAGTATACCTTTTAAATATCTGGGAGTTCCACTGTCTGCAAGAAAACTGAACATTCATTAATGTTTGCCTCTGATTGAAAAAATTACAAAGAGAGTCAGATGCTGGTCAGCTAGGATGCTTTCATACTCAGGTAGAGTCCAGCTCATAAAATTAGTGTTATTTGGAATACAAACGTATTGGGCTAAAATTTTCTTACTGCCAAAGAAAATCATGAAGATGATAGAGACTATATGTAGAACCTTCTTATGTACTGGCTCAACTGATTACTCCAGGAAAGCACTGATTGCATGTGATAGAATATGTCAACCTAAAGCTACTGGTGGTTTGAATGTGATTAATATGAATATATGGAACAAAGCAGCTCTATTAGAGCACCTTTGGGCTTTGGCTATAAAGAAGGATACTTTATGGATTAAATGGGCTCACATATACTACATAAAAAACATGCCTCTTGATGAGGTAAACACACCCAAAAACAGCAGCATGGGTGGTGAGGAAGATCATAGAGGCAAAGGGTGAAGTACAGAAGCTGAGGTCAATTCAAAACAACCGCATTGACACACTGGACAACTTTGTGAAGCAAGGCAAATTTCAGATACATAAAGCATATGTCCAGCTGCAGCCTCAATTCCCCAAAGTAGAGTGGAAGAGTATTCATCTACATGCACGGATCCATCCTAGGTTCAAGTTCCATCTATGGTTGACTATCCATCAAAGAATAGCAACTGTGGATAGACTTGCCAAGTTTGGAATTCAAGTTCAGCAAGAATGTGTATTCTGTGCATAGACTGTGGAAACATTTGATCACCTATACTTTGGTTGTTCAAGTACAAGTAAGCTATGGGAAAGAGTATTGATTTGGATGGGCAATGCGAGACAGATAGGAAGCTGGCAGCATAAATTGAAATGGATAAGTAGTATGGCAAAGAGGAAAGATTGCATGGCAGAAATGATCACAACACTGTTTGCAGTGGTGGTTTACTGCATCTGGCGTGAAAGGAATTCGATGAGATTTAACAAAGGAAGATACAACATAGATGAACTTTGCAAGGAAATTGCAGTACATATACACATACAAGGCAGGAAGAAGATCAAATGGCGAGCAGAATTGGAAAATTTAGAAAATACTCCTTAGTATAGTATTGTGTAATTAGGTTTAGTATTGTATAGGTTTACTTTGTAATAGGGTGTGACGACCCAATTCCATAACATGTCATGATGGCGCCCAATACCATTGCTGGGCAAGCCAACGCGGAAAAATACTAATTAAACTTTCGATCACTTTAACCCCCAAAAAATAATAACGTCTACTAATGTGTGTGCCATGATCTGGTGTCACAAGTAGGGGGAAACTAGTAGAATATACAACAAACACACTATCCTACTGTCTGAACAGAATAGACATCATAAATACATAAGAAAACTCCTTCAAGCTACTAGACGACACGGAAGGGAAAACAGCTCACCGTAGGAGTCTCAAATCTGCTCAGTGGTGCGCGCTCAACTGGTAGCCAGATGTACCTGCCTCAGACCCTGTACAATTAAGTACAGAAGTGTAGTATAAGTACATAAACAATATGTACCCAGTAAGTATCCCGTCTAATCTCGAAGAAGTAGAGACGAGAGGTCGACTTGATACTTACTAGGGTCAATTAATATGAGAAGAGTTTATAATAGACATGGATATCTCAAGTTATTAACATTTAATAATCATGGATGTGCCTATATACTAAGCAGATATGAAATTCAGTCCTCAGTGAAATACTAAGCAAACATGCGCAAATAACACTATGGGACGTACGACCCGATCCAACATAAAAGTAAACTGTGCACTGCCGAGGGTCGAACGGCTCGAACCATAGATGCATCTATTACCCCGCTCGCGAATATCGCGACCCAAATCCCGGTCGTGATGGCGCCCAACACACTACTAGGCAAGCCCGACCATTATTCAACACTTAACCCAATTTATCAAAAATAGTGGAAAGAAATATCAATTAAGCAAGATTAAAGTACTGAAGATTTTAACAAAATACACAATATAATCTCACTAGGACCCGCTGTCACGAATCTGAGCCTCTAGAATACAGAATATTATCCTAATACACGGTATATCCAAAGTCCGATAATGCGGAAATAAAGAGATAGGATAGGAGGGAGAAGATCAATGGCTGCGAATGCCGTGCAGCTACCTTGATACTCCTAGAGGCTGGATTTGCTGATCAACTGGATCTACTGAGCCTGAGACTGCCCTGGAT